TGAACCTTCAGTGAACAATCATATTTTTGCTGGTGGTAGGTCTTGCCTACATGTTGATAGCTGCTGACAAATCAAATGATGGTTGCTGAAGATGGAAGTGAATGCAGCAATTTTAAAATCTAAGACAACAATAATAACGTGTGCCTAATCAACTGACTCATAAAAAATGTCTTTGTAAGGTACAATGGTGTTTGGTGACATGCTCTCTACAGTAGAACATACTTTAACATTAAAGTGAATCCACTCAAACACAGCTGCTGTTTTATCAACTAAATATTCCAAATTCTGTTTTTATTACAACCAGGAGTAGTTTTTAATGAGCCCGTTTCTTTGCTCAACCATAGAAGAAACTCTTTAAAAATGTTTCTAAATATTATTTTTATTTATTATTATTAAACAGTCAATCATTATATATCATTTAGATTGTAAAGAGATTGTACCCAACATGATATATGCCATACACCAGGCAAGTTGAGAATACTGTACATGACATCATCAACAGGCGACAAACCACATCTGTGTCCCACAAATGTCTTTTCCATTTTTTCCCAAATTTCCCTTCCTGCACTCTTCCCCTCTCCCACTTTCCTTCACATTCAGATTTCATTGTGAGATTGTAGCAATTCAGTCACTTATTCAAAGCTCCACAGAGAATTATTTTTCTCTTACTATTTTATCACATTTGTAGTTATTTCTTCCACTGAAATCTTGTAGTAACCAAAATCATTCATGAGAGTTAAAATCAAATTCTTCCAAAGTTCTTTGTAAGTTTATAATTTGACTTAATTCTATGAGTCACAAATGTCCTTAATGGTATCAATAATGATAAATATCTTCCAGAAGACTTCCAATTTACTTTGCCTTGATCTATCAGAAGAGTCAGTACCTAAGATAGCTATAGGTTTATGAAAAGTATTTCTTAAATAATAAAACCTGAAAATCCAAATTACTTCCTGTTCCAAAGGTTGCAACAAGGATGTTGGTTATGACAACAGACTATCGATGAACAGTAATATTTTAAAGTAGCTTGTTTTTCTGAGAAATAACACTTACTAGTGGGTTTAAACTATCTAGTAAGCCGTATTGTAAACAGATGTGCTTTCATCCAGACTTTATTATTCCATTTCTAGAGCACAGGCAGAACAGATTTAGCATAATGCTTTAGAGCCCTAGGATTTTGAAAATGCTAAATGATTAGACTAGCAGAGTGCATAATGGTTATGTTGTTGTACTCTCACGTAGTTCGTCAAAGTTAAGTCCCAGACCCATCAGGCTGAAACTCATACTGGGTCCGTGGACATGTGTGGATTCCCAAAATCCTGAGAGGAGAATGCAGGAGACGGGATTGCATCATGGCCAATCCCTTGGGGATATTCCTCACTTTCTATCTCTCTGGCAAGTGTATGCAGCCCATAGCAAAAATCTCTCTTAAAAAAATATGCAAAATGAGTATTTCCTCAACTTAAAGTCACCTGTGGCATTAGCCCCTAACAAGAGAGTCAACCTGTTCTTTCAAGGTTCAAAGCCAGTGTTTGACTTCTCTTGGTAGCTCTGGAAGTCCTAAGTGACATCTTGCTGCCTCATCTTGCACTTCAATACTACTGAGAACTCATTTCTTGAAACTCATGAACGAACATCTGCTTCAAACTTTTTCTATAAAGTTTCTTCTCCTCTTTCACCTTTTTAGAATCAAAGACATATATGTTTTCTTCCTGATTATGTTGCCGTTTAAGGCAATGCTCTGACATGTTTGATTGTCTACTCATTCCACTCAAACATTCTTTTTAACAGCAATAGGGTTTTGCTTTTCTATCACTTGTGTGTTAACAGGAGTAACACCTTTTATTTCCTTTAAGAATTTTTCCTTTGCACTTGTCTTGGCTATTTGGTATCTTTTTTTTCTTTTTTTCTGAGTCTTTTGTTAGTCTGATAATTCATTATACATCATTGTTGTGCCATTTTCATTTGTTTTTGTTTTTGTTTTTGAGAGGGCTTTTGCTATAGGGCGCGTGTGCTCGCCAGACAGAGAGATAGAAAGCGAGAAATCACCCCCCAGAGGGTGATGGCCACGCTGCAATCCCTTCTCCTCCATTCTCCTCCCGTGATCCTGGGCACGCACGCACATGCTCCATTCTCCTCCATTCTCCTCCCGTGATCCTGGGCACGCACGCACAAGCCACCAGGTCCGGGACTCGAACTGCAATCAACTACGTGGGAGTCCAGCAATATAGCCATTACGCCAACTGCTGGTCCCACAAATTGTTGTTTTTCTGACTCTTGGTCACACATGCCTGACCATGAAAACTAGCAACATCAATACTAAAGGTCAGAAGTGAGGCATAAAGTACAGAAAATTGTGACTAGTGATGAATGTAATCCCCTTAACTTGAGATGATGGTCATAATTGGAACATGTGGAAGATTAGAGGGCAGATCAGTAATTTAATGAATAAATTTTGAAAAAGAAATGACCATTGAGGGAATAGATACATCCCCCAGTATTCCTCACATTATTAGCTGTCTGATAACCTGTATACACATACACTAGATACATAATAGTGATTGACAGAAAGTAAATACTGGGGCATATCCCCTCCCCACCATGGAAAATCATTATTTTTTTAATTTTTAAAATTTAATTTATTATTATCATAATCTTGCTTATATTACATTGAATCACATATATCTTTACAGTGTATTATATTTCTTTTTCAAGCAGGAATTATATTGCATTTCTTTTTCCAGAAGGAATACCATGCATATCAGTCAAGATAAAGACATTACTATCCACATCTTCATCATCAAATAGCTTTTCATCATTTTTTTCAGATCATTATTATTATTCTCATTATTTTTTTAAACATTCAATTACTATATATCATTTGGCTTGTAAAAAGACGCTCAATTGGACTAGTCTGAGAAATATTTCATGTTGGTAAATACTGGGACCTATTTGAAAATATTTTTTTTGAGATTTTTGCCAAAGAGCATGCATGCTCACCAAAGGAAGACAGAAAGAGAAAGAAAAGGAAAGAGGAAAAGTGAGAAATCACCCCGGAGTTGAGGGGAGGGTTACACTGGCAAATGCAATCCCTTCTCCATTCTCCCCTTGGGATCTTGGACATGTATGCCTGGAATGTTTTTTAAGCCCTTAGGTCTAGGACTCAAATCACAGAGTCAGCCATGTGGGATCCAGTGCCTTAACCAATGATGTCAGCTGCTAGCGCATGAATATGTTTTTTTTTTTTTTTTAATTAACTCCCTAAACCAAACACGAATCAGCAGCAGAGGTGGAAGACATATGAATTAAAATAGTTTTAACACCAATTACTGACTGGCCACTAACCTAGCACACAAAGTTGTAACCGTTAGGAAACCACAGTTTATTTATTTATTTATTTTTAATTTATTCATAATAGAGTATGCATTTGAAAAAGAGAGAGAAGCACCTACTAAACAAGCTGCAATCATGCCACAATCTTTTTCCCTCGAGTTCTCCAGTCTGTCAAGATCTTGGAGATTGGTGCATGCCCAATAAGTTGCTGCTGGGTCAGGGTTGGGTACCCCAGTCAGTCACATGGGACTGCACATCCTCTGCAAAGTGCTAAGCGGCGACACGTTTGGCCCGCCTGAAGTACATTTATTTTATACACCAAAGGAGAATACTTGCAGCAAGAGGAAAGACAAACTTTTACAGAATCTGCAGTGTTTATAAACCAAACCCAGCATGACACTGTAGTCAAGGAGAGCTTCTATGTATTTCATTAAAAATATTTATTGTAATAAAGTAGTTTTAAACACATACAGTTAGTATTCAGAATATGAATTTATCAATTACATACATTCGTTCAAACAAATTTAAGAAATTTTATTTTAATGTAATTATCAGATCATTTTACTAATTTAGTTTAAGAAGGACTTTAGTCATTGGCTATTATCGTTTTAAAATGCACTGAGCCACTGTGCCCAACCCTACCCAGAAACAAATGAAAAAAGAAGCCAAAAGAGGACCAGCAGGTGGTGTGGAGGTTAAGGTACTGGATCCCACATGGCAGATTGTGTAGTTCACATTCAGAAACTTATGACTTGAAAAATCACACATGGTGGGAACCAGCAGTTAGCGTAATGGCTATGTCGCTGGACTCCCACGTGGTCGACCGTGGTTCACGTCCCGGACCTGGTGGCTTAAAACTCACGCCAGGTGCGTGTGTGTGCATGCCCAAGATCTCGAGAGGAGAATGGAGGAGAAGGGATTGCAACGTGACCATCCCTCCTGGGGGGTAATTTGTCGCTTTCTGTCTCTATGTCTCTCTCTGTCTGGCAAATGCACGTGCCCTATAGCGAAAACCTCTCCAAAAAAAAAAAAACACACATGGTGTGTGTGTGTGTGTGTGTGTGTGTGTGTGTGTCTGTGTGTCTGTGTCTGTGTGTGTGTGTGTGTGTGTGTGTGTGTGTGTGTTCGCTTTTCCCCAGGATCTTGAGAGGAGAAAAGGAGAAGGGATTGCAGTGTGGTCATCTTCCTGGGAAGGAAGTGGGTAGAGTTCTCATTTTAGCTCTCTCTCTCTCTCTCTCTCTCTCTCTGTGTGTGTGTGTGTGTGTGTGTGTGTGTGTGTGTGTGTCTTTCTGGTGATTCCATGAACCCTAGAACAAAACAAAACAAAAAGACAAAATAATTTGAAATATAGACTTCTCTCATTTACATCTTTTGTTCTTGTCAAACTTATATAATTTCATTCTAACATATCTCTCCTGACTCCTGGAAACATTTCTTCCAACTCACTCCCCAGCTTATTCCTCGGCTAAATTGTAGAACAAAAGATTGGTTTATATATTACTCTCATAAATCAAACAGCTTCAGTTTATTCTTAAGTCAATGTTTCCAAATCCTAGCTGCTTGAATTCTCAGAATTACTCGTAAATCTGTAAGTCATCCACCTAACTTTTGTTACCTTTTATGGAATGGAAACATAACTACCTTTTTATAACCTATATTTTCTAAAATCACATTGGTTTTAAGGAACAGCATGTATTTGATAGAAGTCTCTTAAAGGCATCCTTCACATCCTTATTCCTCAGGCTGTAGATCATGGGGTTCATCATTGGGATCACTAGTGTATAAAACACGGAAGCCATTTTGTCAGTATCTAATGAGTGATTAGTTTGAGGCTGCACATACATGAAGAGAAGTGTCCCATGGAACACTGTGACAGCCATCATATGTGAAGCACAAGTGGAAAAGGCTTTTTTCCTCCCTTCTGATGAATGCATTTTTAGAATGCACAAAACAATGTTGAAATAAGATACTAGAACAGCAATCAGAGAAAAAATCACATTAACAGCTGCAGATACAAAGACTATCGTCTCGGGAACTTTTGTATCAGAACAGGACAATGCTAACAGAGGTGTAGTATCACAATAAAAGTGATTGATTATGTTCGAAGAGCAATAAGACAGAGAGAATACACAAGGGGAAACCACCGTACCTGTAGAAAACCCATAGAAGTATGTGAGGCCTACCAGCAGACGGCACACCCGTGGGGATACCACCACCATGTACATCAGGGGGTTACAAATGGCCACATAACGATCATAGGCCATCACAGAGAGCAGGATAATCTCAGAAACAATGAAAAACACAAACCCTCCCTGTTGGATGGCACATTCATAGTATAAAATAGTATTCTTCTTCACTACAAAAGTGATCAGCATTTTAGGGGCAATGAGAGTAGAGTTGCCAAGATTGATGATAGCCAAATGCCGTAAGAAGAAGTACATGGGGGTTTGGAGTCGAGAGTCAACACTGGTGAGGGTGATGATGCCCAGGTTGCCAGCCACAGTCAGCAAATAGATTACCAGGAAGACCAGGAAGAGGGGAATCTGCAGCTGTGGAGTGGCTGAGACACCAGTGAGAATAAACTCAGTGAACTGGGTAAAATTTCCTGGATCCATGTAAGAGTTTGAAAATTTATCTATTTGGGGAAGAAAAAGAAAAGTATTTACAAATTTTAAGAACCCTTGTCTATGGTTGCAATAGAGGTCAAGGGCAATTTCTTCAGTGAGATTTCTTTAAATCATGTATTATTCTAACACATTTATTAAGCAGGGAAAGTAAGTATGGTAAATTAAGTACAGAAAATTAAAAAGAGAATCAATCCATCATTATGCCACATGGGAGGATTTACTCCATTTTCACTTAATTTGTTCTATGTTTGCAAACATTTGCATTGATAGCACATAGCTTATATTTTGCTTTAAGTATGAGAAAGGGTTCAGGAATTGTATTTCCCCATATAATCAGTTGATTTCTCACAGTTCCTTATTCTGAAAATTCTAGTTCCCAAAACACACGTATCTAGGCATTGTCTTGACTCTCTTTTTATATTTTCATGTTTTTAAAATATTTATTAGAAGTATATTGAACTTGGAATTCTATCGTTTATCTGTATAGATACATCTGCATCTGCTTTTTTATATTATAAATAGTATTTACTGATGCATAAGATATATAGGAAAGGCACAAAAGTCAGAAGTGTAGTTTTCAAAGAATTGTCACAAAATGTACACATACTTGTTAGCATCATTAGTAAGAAAAAAAATGTTCAAATCACCCCAGATGGTCCCTTCTTCATTATGTCAATCTTCTTTAATAATCTCTTAATCCTTCTTAATATTTTGGATTAATGTAATAATATTAACATTCTCATTTAATAGTACATGTGAAAATTGCATTACATAGGTTTGGCATAAAATCAGCATGCTATTTTAGCCTGGCTAAATATTTTTCAAGAGCTATTTAATAAAAATGAACACCTTACCCTGTCAAAACCAATTTGAGACCCTGTCTGTGCTGCCACAACTGCTAGCTCAGTGATGGGCACCTGGCTGAGGGGTTTGTCATAATGCCTTACTGAAATATTTGGAAGTTAAGTTCCTGTGACTCGAGACTACATCAAATACATGTTTCAATTATGAAAGCCTAAAAATTAGGACTTTTTTTTTTCCTTCTGTAAAGGAGAGAATAGAAAGGCATTATAGTTACTTTTTCAGAGTCAGAAATACAGAATGTAATGGCAATGTAAAAAGAATCAGAGAAATAATACCAAAATAAATCTTAATATTGTTGAATATATGATATCAGTTTGTTTCTGACATCAAACACTATTTTTTTTTTGAGAGGTTTTTGCTATAGGGTGCATGCACTCACCAGAAAGACAGAGAGAGAAAGAGAGACAGAAAGCGAGAAATCACTCCCCAGGGGGTATGGCTACGCCGCAATCCCTTCTCCTCCATTCTCCTCTTGGGATCTTGGGCACGCACACACATGTGCCCGGCGTGAGTTTAAGCCACCGGTTCCAGAACTCGAACCGCAGTCGACCATGTGGGAGTCCAGCGACATAGCCATTACACTAACTGCTCGTCTCAAAACACTATTTTTTTTATTTCTTTTAATTAGCTTCTTACTTATTTATTTACCACATATTTGTTTTTCTAATACGTTTCAGACAATGTTCAAGCTTCAAATATATTATTTGTCCTTCACCTAATGTAACAATTACTTCAGTATCAAGGGAGAAGTCAAAATTAGTTACAGTAATAAATGAACAAGATAACTGCAAGCTATAATGCCTATATAAATACATTAACAAAATGATTCATTAATATAAACTGGGTACATAATTTCACATTGGTCATCAAGAAAAAGTCTAACAAAGTGATATTTGAAAGAAACCTACTAATTGAGAAAGAACCAGTTTTTTCATGAATTACAAGAAGACATTTCAGGATTCTTGACAAGAGTGAATTTCTTGAAAATGCTGCTCTGATGGAGAAATGTGGTATTTGACATATATGTATTTTTTTCCCATTTACTCATTACATATAATATCGCCCTCTTCTTCACAGAAGGGACTTGCCCAGGGACGGGCAGTCAGCATCGTGGTTAAGGCGCTGGACTCCCATGTAGTCAAGCATGGTACAAGTCCTGGACCCTGCAGCTTGAAATTCATGCTGGGCCCAGGTGAGCGTTGCCCAAAATCTGGAGAAGAGAATGAGGAGAATTGCAAGTATGGCCATCCCCCCGGGGAAGGGAGTGATTTCTCACTTTTTGTGTCTCTCTATCTCTCCAGCAAGTGCACATGCACTATAACAAAAATCTCTCTCAAAGAAAAAAAAAAGGACTTGGCCATTAGAAATTACTCATACACTCTTAAGGAAGTATCATGAGAAGTCCCGCAGGAAAAAGTACACAACCCTCTGTCAAGAAACAGATGGAATTCATTTTGTGCTGAGCACATTTCTATGAATTTGCAAGTGTTAACTCATGGGATGTATATACTAACTCTAGGAAGTAGTTAGTAGTATCATTTAAAGGGGAAAACACGAATCAGTCTTTATGAACATCTTAGTTCCAAAATAACATGTATATGTTATGTTAGGTGTACATAACCCCTCCAAACACACTTGCAGTCCATGAAGAAATGAAAAATATGACTTCAAATTACATGATATTTAAGAGGCAAGGATACTGAGGCACATAAATAATAATAGAGACAGATTCTTGCTAAAATATATAACTAAACAGTGAGGTAATTGAAATCCACATTAGTGAAAATAATGAAGAACGCAGAGTATTGGGAACTGTATAACAAGTCTGTCCTCAGCTTTAATCCTACTGATGATTGAAAAGTTTATTGAAAAGAGGAACAAAGAGAGTATTGCAGAATACTGGCTTCTTTAAGATCTTAGTGATCACCCACTTTAAGTTATTTGTCCTTAGAAGTGACAAAGACCCCTGCTTCACCTTACCTTAGTTGGGATTCTGTTTTGATTTCTTTGTTTTAATCTTGGGCTTTTGTAGAATGCACTTAAGTTTTTCCTAATCACCTGAGACTCATTGTGTTGCAGTTGTAATCTCGTTGAAGGTAAACAAATTGTGCATAATTACCTTTGGGAGAGCATCTTGTATATCTGCTAATTACTTTCTGAATGTTCCATCAGTTAAAATCAAAAGTATTTCATTACTCAGTATATGGAACCTCTATCACCCTTATCCTTAAAACATATAAACACAGGACAAGGAAGGAAAACTACAGACCAATATCTCTGATGAATATAGACGCAAAGATTCTCAGTAAATAAATGATGCAATATTGTTAAACAGTAGTAGTCACAGATAAGTCTTCATGAATAACTTAGTTTAAAAATATTGTGCAATTAGTAAGTATACCCAAAACTTCCAATGCACATACAGTCCATTAATAAATGGAAGAATGACTTTATAGAAAAATTTTACACAATATTTGATAATACTTTAATTGATTGATATTCTTGTTTTATATAAAATTATAGGTTGAAATAAAACAATGCCTTTGACTAGTGTTGTTTCTGCCAAGAAATAATTTTGTTATCTGCTTATAATGTACATCTTGTCTCTAGATATTAAAAAAATAAACATAGAAATGATATTTTGTGAAGAGATGGGGATGGCCATGCCATAGTTCTTTCTTCATTCTTAACTTAAGATTTTTGGCTTACATGCACAAGCACGTGTATTTTTTGAGCCTCTGGGTCCAGGACTTCAATTTTACAGTTGGCCATGTAGGATCCAGTGCATCTACTTGTTCTCCTGTCCATTCATTTCAAGGTCCTTTCATCACACTGGAATCCTCCTTCAGAATGCTGGGTACATGTATGAATGCATAATTATGGTCCTGATTGGCTGAATGTAGGGGTGACTGAGTGTGCAGATCCAATTTCTGTCTGACTTTCTTACTTTATCTCTCTCGCTCATGAAGTCATGAATATATATACTGAATAAATAAAAAAATAAATGGTTTATATCATTATTCATAGATTTTTTCTATTTAATTTTAAATTATTTATTTCCACTTATGTAGTATTGTTGACATAAGCTCTCTAAAGCATTTAGAATGTTATTTAATCATTTTTTAATATTCCATATTAATAACTGCCTCCTTATTGACGTAATTTACATTAGAGTATTTATAGAGCATAATACTGTGATTTTCAAGTATTACAGTGATAAGTGCTGCTCCACCATTTACAAAAGTTTATATTGAAGTCAATAAAGTGAAGTGGAATTGCTCTGATTGAGATAGAGGAGCTGGGCCAGCATGAGACATAGAGTTTAAGGCAGCTCGATCGCACATGACAAACTCCACATTCAAATCCCAGAACCAGTGACTTAAAAATCATACTGGGTGAATGTGCACGCATGCTCAAAATCCTGAGAAGAGAATGGAAAAAAGGGGATTGCATCATGCATCCCCTGCTGAGGATGATGTCTTTTTCTCCCCCTGTGTCTCTCTAGTGAGGGTATGCACCCTATAGGACAAATATATTTAAAAGAAAAAGAAGAAAAGAAGAAGGAGGAGGAGGAGGAGGAGGAGAAGAGAAGAAGAAGAAGGAGAAGAAAAGAAGAGGAAGAATGCAAAGCAAGAGAGAGAGACACACACACATTCTCAATATTCGGTGTTTCTGAAACATTCAGTGTTGGCATCTGCTTGCAAGCTTAAGAGTAACATCTCTCTGGATGGTAATACTGTCAGCATTCTCCCTGGGACTTGGTCCTGGGAAGGAAAAAAAAGAAAGGAGACAGATGCAGAAGTAGAAATGCAGATGAACACAGACATGCTGCTGCTCAGTCATGCTGAGCTTCTTTATTTAAACATTTTACTAGACACTGTGAATTGTTGTGCCAGATTTCAAGGATGCAGTTGAAGTTCTATGGTTAGAGATAAGGATGTTAATGTATATGTTTTTCGACCTTGTTACTATCATGTATGATCCTGTTATGTGTCATAGGTCAAGTCAGATTACTTACGCTGTTCCTCTGCAGCTTTGAGGAAGGCGATCTGCGTATGCATCGAAGAAGATAATGTGTAAGCTATAAACATTGTATAGGACAGGCATTACATGATCTAGCCAGG